TCAAAATGAAAATTCACTTCATTCAAATATTGATGGATTTTCTAAGTTCAAAACTGTAAGTTTTAAAATTATCACAAAAAATCAAATACCGGTTTTATAATGATTTATGTCATGTACAATTACAAATAGTACACACACTAAAGTTTGTCCAAAGTGCTAGAGAAAAAAAAAAGAAAAAAAAAAGAACGCAAATAATCTATGGATCATATGTATGCACCTCAAATTTTTGGATCCGCACAATTTGGGAATTTTATCTGAACGAAGATGTGTAAGTTTATATGATCGGTCTTTCAACATCTCTTTGAGAAAATCCAGTAAATTACCTTTCGATTTATCACTTCTTTATGCTAATCTATGTTGTCTTTGTTACCACACTGGTGTTTGAACTTTTAAGATTCTTTCAATCATTTGTTCATTTTATACATGTTTGTTCAAACACCAGTGTGGTAACAACAAAAAAAACATTATTTCAAAACATTTTTCATTTCTACTTTGTTATATAAAAAATAAATTGAAAAGGTAAAAAGGTACCAAACGATGATGATAGACCGAAAACTCGTACTAGATTGAGTGTCGGTTTCAGCATTGTCCATTTTTCTTCACAAGATTAATTCCGAAGGTATCAGTGAACCGGAATCCAGAAACTCAATTCGGTCCACATAAACCAAATCTGGTTTAATTCGTGGCTATTGAATCAGTAGACGTCACTGTCGTGTTCCCTTATAGATCTCGTACGGACCAGAGCCACACTATAAAAGCACCCAATAATTTATAAACCAATAAAGCCTATAAATAATGCTCCCCTGGTTAATACCATTTTCAACCCTTACAAGCTACAACAAACAAAATACGTAAACATAATTAATTAACTAATACAAGTTACAAACACTCAAGAACATGGAGGAGCAGAGCAAGAACAAGATCAGTGAAGAAGAAAAACAACTTCATGGGAGGCCAAGTCGACCAACGGGAGGATTGATTACTATGCCCTTCATCTTCGGTAATGAGTTCGTTGTATATGAATTAATCATCTCTAATTATCTCTAATTAACATTTGATGGATTATTATTATCAGCTAATGAGATATGCGAGAAATTGGCGGTGGTTGGGTTTCACGCAAACATGATAAGCTATCTAACAACACAGCTTCACCTTCCCTTAACCAAAGCAGCCAACACTCTCACAAACTTCGCCGGAACTTCTAGTCTCACTCCTCTCATCGGTGCCTTTGTCGCCGACTCTTTCGCCGGCCGCTTTTGGACCATCACTTTCGCTTCCATCATCTACCAAATCGTACGTGTATTTATAACTTTTGTACAAATAAACTCATCTCAAGAGCCACTGAACAAGACTTAATTATTCCATTTTTATGTTATCTTTTAGGTTTTCTGTACTAAGTTAACAAAAAAATATGACAGCTTTTTTTGTTACAATGAAACTCAAGATTACATCGATCTTATTGTTCTAACGAGAAATGTTAATTAAAAAAAAAAAAATCAGGGGATGACACTACTAACTATATCGGCAATAATACCGACGCTAAGGCCACCACCATGTAAAGGAGAAGAAGTTTGTGAAGTAGCAGACACAGCACAGTTGAGTATTTTGTACATAGCTCTTCTTCTTGGAGCTCTCGGGTCGGGTGGGATCCGACCCTGTGTTGTTGCTTTCGGTGCGGATCAGTTCGATGAGTCGGATCCTGAGCAAACCACCAAAACTTGGAACTACTTCAACTGGTACTTTTTTTATTTATAGCTTTCTTCACAGGTATACATATGATATATCAATAATTAGATTCTTTCCATAGATTCATAGATTCCTCAGGCTTTTTATTACTTGTTGAATTGGTCCTAGGGATTATAAAAAATTGAAATAATATTATAGGATTACCTACCATGTTTAAAATATACTATATAGTATACTATCTGTATTTTGTCTGAACCTATAAGAGATGTATAGCTAACAAGACTTTGTGATACTACTATTAAGTAACAAAATGCAGCTATTAGTTATTTAAGCATGTATATTTAAAGTATTCTAGACGTCTTAGGTCACTATTTTGCTGGAAATACCGATTGTTAATTATTCTTCTGACCCAAAGCAAAGAACAAATTTCTTATACGTATCTAAGTTCAAATAAGTAATCAACTAGATGTCTAATTTTCGTTTTCTGAATTATGATAATGTGTTTGATGGAATTATTCCTTTTAAACAGTAAATTTCTTCTAAAATATCCTTGTAGACTAGTAATTATAACCAGGAATAATGAAATACAATTGTTGATGGATTTTGAATGATTAGGTACTACTTTTGTATGGGAGCAGCAGTTTTAGTGGCGGTGACGGTTCTTGTGTACATCCAAGATAATGTTGGGTGGGGTCTAGGTTTGGGCATCCCAACAGTAGCTATGTTCTTATCCGTTATTGCTTTTGTCGGCGGTTTCCGGCTTTATCGTCACTTGGTTCCGGCGGGTAGCCCGTTTACCCGCTTGATCCAAGTGTCAGTCGCAGCATTTCGCAAAAGGAAATTGAGAATGGTTTCTGATCCTACTCTTCTCTATTTCAACGATGAGATTGACGCTCCTATCTCCTTAGGTGGTAAACTCACCCACACCAAACACATGAGGTAATAACAATTCTATTTATGATTCCTCTTCTCTAATTTCTATATTTCATCATAAAACATAAAAATTTCACATATAGATACTACTTTAAACGAAGACTAGCAAGAAAAGAAAAGAAAAAAACAATAAGATTTTATAGTTATTTTGAAAATTGCTAACATATATTTGAGTATAGTAGAGCTAAACTGATGAAAGAGCTAAAAAAATAACTAAATAACTAGTATACGATGGCTTTTTAATTATATATGCGATGATAAATATATAATTCAATTGAGTCATCATATACTATGGAGTCTATAAATAGACTATGTATCTGTTTGACTACTATATCCACCAGATAGTCACGAGGAATCGTATAAGAATCTGAATATATAACTAAAAAACGATATTGATACGACCTAAAGAGTAAAACAATTGAGTAACGTAAACAATTGAGTAATCGTACAACAAGTTGTCCACTGGGTGAAACCAGACAAATTAGAAGTAAAAATCACAACATATATCCAAAACTACATCATGATTGTAATCGGTGATCCATTGAAAATCAAGGAAATTCCAAAAGCAACAAGACGTAAGCTCACTTTCACCAAGACAACACATCAAAAGTTGTCATTTTTATTGCTTCTTGGCATATATATGCAGCAATAATTGGATTATTGGACCTATTTAGAAAATAGTAATAGTTAGATAATTAATAGTAATTGTCCGATCATGAGACTGACCTAAAAGTCTTCTTCTTTTTTTGTCACTCTTTGAACCATAGTGGTAATGTGAAGGATCTAGTAGCAAAAACACTTACACTGAATAAATTTTCGTAAAACTAACCACAAATCACTTAAAAAATAGGTTTTGATAGGATTAGTGATGTTTTACACCCAAAATACGTATAATTTTCGAAAACAAGAAACCATGAAAACAAAACGTTTTAAAACATAAAACGTGTATACCATTTCATCACATTTGTCTTGTTTATCACTCAAAATCCAAAAAATTTGACCAAATTTAATATTCATATTATTGCATTTCTTTATAATTAATCAACTCTGCTCTTAATTATGTTAGCTTCTTGGACAAGGCAGCGATAGTAACGGAGCAAGACAGTGTGAAACCGGGTCAAATCCCTAACCCATGGAGGCTAAGCACAGTCCACCGGGTCGAAGAGCTCAAATCGGTGATCCGAATGGGTCCAATCGGAGCCTCCGGGATCCTCCTCATCACAGCCTATGCTCAACAAGGAACCTTCTCTCTCCAACAAGCCAAAACCATGAACCGCCACTTAACCAAATCCTTCCAGATCCCGGCCGGTTCAATGTCCGTCTTCACCACCGTCGCGATGCTCACCACAATCGTCTTCTACGACCGCGTCTTCGTCAAAATCGCCCGGAGATACACCGGTCTCGAGAGAGGCATCACGTTCCTCCACCGTATGGGGATAGGGTTCGTCATCTCGATCATCGCGACGCTCGTCGCCGGATTCGTCGAGATCAAACGCAAACGCGTCGCGATGGAGCACGGGCTTCTGGATAAGCCTCACACGGTGGTTCCGATCTCGTTTCTCTGGCTGATCCCTCAGTACGGCCTCCACGGAATCGCCGAGGCTTTCATGTCGATCGGACATCTGGAGTTTTTCTACGATCAAGCGCCGGAGAGTATGAGGAGTACGGCGACGGCGCTTTTCTGGATGGCGATTTCGATCGGGAACTATGTGAGCACGTTGCTTGTGACTCTGGTTCACAAATTCAGCGCTAAACCGGATGGGAGCAATTGGTTACCGGATAACAATTTAAACCGGGGGAAGCTCGAGTATTTTTACTGGCTAATCACTCTGTTACAAGCGGTTAATCTCGTGTATTATCTTTGGTGCGCCAAGATTTACACGTATAAACCGGTTCAGGTGCATCATAGCAAGGAAGTTAATAGTCCGGTTAAAGATGAATTGCAGTTGTCCAATAAGAGTTTAGTTGATGCATGAGCTCCCTTTTGGGAATTGTAATGTAAAATTAGTAGTAAGTAATGTATTTATAAGTTCAATAAAATTAGAAAAGATGACTTTGTCTCGGTATTTTTAATATGGGATATACCGATACAAAACTGAATTAACATGTAGCTAAATTTTAAAACCAAACCAAACCTTTACTAACTTTGGTTTTACGTTGACTATTATATAACCGAAACACTTAAACCGGTCCAAACCGGGTTGAAGATGCATGTATGAGCTGGCTATATTGGGCCGAAAGTAGTAACATTGGGCTTAAAGTGGGAAGTAGATTATTGATAGTGACACAAGCAACGTGGAGGTTAAGCAACGTGTTGCGAAAAGTCACGTTCCAAAAAAACATAAAGCAAGTCGTCGGTTTTCATCTTCCAGAACACGTCATTGATTTTACGCGCAAGTTTACCTTTTTCACTCGTCATGATCAATATAGAGTTTTCAAAGTTTCTGGTGTTGTGTCGGCGAAGCTATATAAGAGAAAGAGGAGGAGAAAAGGAAAAAAAAAAGTAATAGAAGAAGGAAGACATGTTCGAGGACAAAGCCAGAGTCAACACGTCTTTGTCAATTATCACGGAAGCTTTCGAGGATCTGGCGGATTCTCTGAAACCGCCGTGGAAAACCGGCGGCGACGATGAATCAGCCGATGGATTAAGGCTCGATGCGTTTTGCAGTGCTTGTACTCACGTCTCTGTTCTCTTCAGTTGCCTCGGATTCGCCTTCAAATTCGCTGAAATGGAATACGTCTCCAAGGTTCGAAACCCTAATCTCAGTTGAATTTCTGTTGATAATCGTTTCGGTTTTGAATTGGAACAATTTGTTCATTGTCATTCTTTTGAGTTGAAACTCTAGTCTCAATTTTTGCATGACCTTGAATATAAAAGTTTGTTAGGAATTTCACATTGAACGTGTTAATGGAGGAGACCTAATGTGTTGTAAATTTAACAAATGTGTTGTAAATCAGGTTAAGGATTTGGTGGAGGCGTCGAAAACGTTTGAGACGTTACAGAACATTTTGGATCTAGATGTAGAGAATAAAACGGTTAAAACGCCTGGAAGCTACTCGCGAAACCTTAGACGTGTTAGACAAGGCTTAGACCTAATCCGAGCCATCTTCGAACAGTTCTTAATGACGGATGAGTGTTATTCTTTGAAAGACGCTGCAACAAAAGCTTACACCCAAGTATGTGCACCGTTTCATTCTTGGACGGTTAGAACCGCGGTTTACGCCGGGATGTATACACTTCCGACGAGGGAACAACTTTTGTTACGTCTCAATGAAACAGGTGAGGGTTTGATGTTTTGGTCGAGTTTTGATCTTGTTTTTGTTTTGTAGCATATCTTGATTCTTGTACTCGTTGTTTTGCTTTGATGGGTTTGAAGATCAATCTGTGGAGAAGAACATGAGGAGGTACATGGAAGTGTCTAGACCGATCATAGAGTATATTGATAAGCTTTACATTGATAGGAACATTAAACTGGACTGGTAGCAATTTTGTAACAAAAAAAGGTTAGTCCTTAAAAATTTAAATTTGGAGTTTTGTCTTGAGGCCAATGATTATTTCCTGAATGATATTTCTTTCTTCAAATATATTTTGTGTTGTGACGGCACATCAGCTAAACCTAAATGGATATGACATTGTTGAATAACATATAATTATTGTTAGATTATAATGTACTTATGAATGAACAAAAGGTTATGGTATATTTCATATTGGTCTCATTACTTCATAGGCAATTTCCGAGAGTCTTTTATGTAGTTTTTTTTGGCACAGAATATAAGAGCTAGTTTTGCTAACGAGCTTAGTGGGGACACAAAGTGAGAATCAAACACTTAAGCTAAAATGTCCTTTTATATTTGAAGATGCCATGAAACTCCTCGTGAGATTGGGAATTTGATTCGAATATTTTCTTTATAATACCAAACTTTGTAGCTTCGCACGTAGCAAGTGGTATCGTCGACCTCAAAGTTTTGTTTAATTTGAGATTGTGGTCATAACTAGTAACATATTGAAATCCACAAAAAAAAAAAACCATTAACATGTTGAAAATTGTAACATACCCACAACATAAATTTATTTGCCCAAAAAAAAAAATTCCACAACATAAATTTATTTTACTTATATATTACGAATTGAAATTAAAATTTTAAGTGTACATATTGTTTGTTAGAGAATATCCTTAAAAATTCATGATATTTCCAATTCAAAACAAAATGTGTACTGTTATTCCTTAAACGATGAAACACTTTGTAATGAACACTTTAGTTTAACCAAGTTTGCTTCATTATTTTGTTACGAACAACGCTTTAATTTAAGTGTGTGTGGTTGAAATCTTCTTTTTTTTTGGAAAATTTTCATTAATTCGATAATAATATACAAAAATTAAGAATGTAATGTATAGTCTAAATTTCATTATATTTTTTGTATGTTATTTTCTGTATTTTATTAAATTGTAAATCTTATAATTTAAAGTTTGATATGCTAAAGTTATTATATAAATCTTGTTTAAACTGAAAATCTAAAATTCACCAATTCTCTGACGACGGAAATGGTCTATTATTGTGATTGACTATTTTGTAGGTCATGGTTTTGCTAAAAAATATCATTGCTGTGATAGTTTTAACGGATGTGGTGAATAGCATATATCAAATTTGCATATGTCAAAATAATGATGAACGTGATTTTCGTTTAATACTTTCTTTTCTTTTTCGTTCTTTGTAAAATTGATAATCAGATGAAATTTGTATTTCGTTCACATTATTAGGTTATAAAATTATAATGTCAAAGACTAATTTTAAAAGTTAAAGATGATTATAATTACTCTTTCAGATAAACAATCGATCAATAAACTGACTGAGTCTTTGTATAATGTCAACAACTCAATTAAATTTCAACATTATTTTTTCTCAATAAGGTAAAATAGTTCATTTGAATTTTTTGTTTGATGTTGATTAAAAAAACCTTATCCCGCCTTCATTTAATTTAACCAAATTTGCTCATTGTTTTACCATAATTTTTTTAATTTAGTTATATGGTTGAAATTTTTTATTTTTGTATAATTATCATTAATTAATGAGATTCTTTCTATTAAAGTCAAAAAGTCAAGAATCTATAATATGTATACAGTTTCCTTATTCCCTTTTTTCCATGCTATTGACTTATTTCCGTATTTTGTATTCTGTCAAGATCCAAATTAGAAATGAATTTAGATGATACAAATATTTAAAATAAGAATTAAAAAAATCTAAAAAGACGTGATAGCCAACTGTCAAATAAATAGAGCGAGTCTTTTCTTTAAAAAAATAAAATAAAATAAAAAATAATCCGGAAATCACGCGCTTCATATCTTATTACACAACTTGTCTTTTGTACTTTTGCATTTTTAAAATTCCAAACGGGCCTCCTTATCGTGACAGAGGAAAGAGAAAGCAGTAGAGAAGAAACCCCTCTCAATGGCATTCTCGTAATTTCCACTGAGGTCAGAGGATATTACCGTAATTAATGACATACGCTCTACGTGGAGCCAATCACCACCCTTGATCTTATCCCCAAATTGAAAGCCCTAGCTAGCTCCTCCCCGGTTTTTTTATATTATTCAAATTCCGCTATCTCCTTCTCTCTTCTTTTTTCTGATTTCACGCGGAGAGAGAGAGATAGAGAGACAGCGAAGCTGAGAGGATAACGATTAGGGTATAGAGTGGGTCGCTCACGGTGGAGGTATGGCGTGGTCATCGGAAACGCCGTCGTATTGCGGCTGGAATGAGCTGCATGTGAAGAACGGCAATGGAAAGATGGAGGTTCATTATTATCTCGAGAGGAGAGACGGATGCGCAGATCTCGCTGTTGTTGGGAGGATGAAGAGCTCTAAATGCATGTCCTTTCGATACGCCTTGAAAAAGAATCGCTCCGTCTTGAAGAAGCTCGAATCTATAGAAGACGTCGCGGATTGGCTCAATTCAATTGTTTCGGGTAATTTCTCAAATCCCTCTATCGATTTTCTCATGTGCCCTTTTTTCCTAGTTTTCTTATTGGGCGTGTCCTGTTTTCTTCTCTAGCGGGATTTTCAATTGGAAACGCGATAAAGCTCAGATCTGGGAATCGTATGAGCGCAAAAAGGTTTTGATTGCCTTCGCATCGATTTCCTAAATTTGATTTTGTTCATCGCGAATTCGGAGAGTTTGATAACGTTTTTCACGGCCCTTTATTTTCCTTCGATAATCTGATTTTTTGGGTATTTAACATCGTCGCTTGCTAAGTCGCTAGAGGGTGAAAGCTAGGTTTTTTTTTCTGTTCTTCATATTCCCACTAGATCGGAGGTGTGATAGCTATAAGGCTTCTCCTTTATATTGACTTTCTGATTTTCGTTGAGGCTCATGAGTTTTTATCCAAATAGCTTCAATTGAACGACTTAAATACCATATACAAGTTTGCATAGGGCTGTCGAGTTTGCTTATTTGTTTATTCGTAGGATTTCATGAAGAACGATTAAATTGAACTTTATGTTGTTTTGGAAATATTGTTCTTTGTGGTTAGAGTTCTTACCTCATTCCGTTGCGCCTTTTGCAGCTGAACATATTAATGACTTAATTTTGCTGCAGACAGATCCGCTTTCCACCTTTTGGTACTGAGCATTGTCTGCACGAATTGATATTTTTTTTCAAGTTTTGATTTTTGTACCTAGAGACTACACTTGATTGAAATATTTCTGATCTTTTGTTTCTAATTTTCTTTAATTTCTTAGGTGTGACACCTCATGTTGCACAAGTGCCAGCTACTAATATGACTGAACAATCTGCTGGAGGATTAAACATCGGCACATATATGGTACTGGTTTAATTTACGCTCAAGAGTTTTGTTTTCTTCACGTATTTCTTGTTAGAAAATGAACTAGTAATCGGTTTCTCTTTTGTTATTGTCAGAATGGTAAATTTAAGAAGCCTCGTACTGACCCTGGATTAGAAGATTCTCTGGTTGGTTGTGGTGGAGGAATTAGATCGAGGAAACGGCGTCGTTCTGCAGATGATGGGAAAGGTGACTGCAAAGCTAACCCTGCTGATGCTTCTATGTGCAAGTCCGCAAAAGATGGTTCTTCCCATCACATCAAAAAGGGATCACTTGTTGAGGTTCTTTCCCAAGATAGTGGCCTCAGGGGTTGTTGGTTTAGGGCCTTGATAATAAAGAAACACAAGGATAAGGTTAAGGTCCAGTACCAAGACATTAAGGATGCAGATGATGAATCTAAAAAGCTAGAGGTACACATTTTGAAACCCACCCTTTTTTGGTTCTGTCTTTTACTACTGTCCACTGTGTTTACATGTTTCATTTTTTGTTTGTTGCAGGAGTGGATTTTGGCATCGCAGGTTGCTGCTAGTGATCATCTGGGTCTTAGAAACCCAGGTCGGAAAATAGTACGCCCAAATCCGAAGCCCAGCAAAGAAAATGATGTGTGGGCTGTTGGTGTTGGCGTGCCTGTGGATGTGTGGTGGTGTGATGGATGGTGGGAAGGGATCGTGGCGCAGCAAGTTTCAGAAGAGAAATTTGAAGTTTACCTTCCAGGTGAGTTAATTCATACCTCTGATTTGAAGTAGTTCAGCAGATTTGTTGAAGGTTTATATCTTTTTGTGAGACTAATTGTTGTTGTTTCGGTTGTTTTCTCTCAGGTGAAAAGAAAATGTCCGTCTTCCATCGTAGTGATCTTAGACAGTCTTTGGAATGGTCAGCGGATGAGTGGGTACACATGAAACCAAGGTCTGATCTCGTGAGTTCTGTCCTGTCCTTGAAGGAGAAGAAGAAAGAGGTCGAGATGAAACATGATGAGAAGCTATCTGAAGTTTGTGTTGGTGATGGTGTGATGTCAACAAAGGGTGAAGCTAAACACACCATCTCTCTTCCAGTAGCTACAAGCAATAAGTCATCTACTAAGCCACCAGTAGTTCCAGATCTTCTGAAGGACGTCTTAGTCTCTGAATTAAAGTGGAATGCATCTAAGAAGCGAACTGCCAGATGCTGTCCACGCTTGACTGATGGCTTCTCAGGTGAAAGATCCCCGGATTGTGAGAAGTGCAGTTCCATGGGAGATTCTTTGTTTAGCGCTTCCGTTTCTGTAAGAAGGAAGCGTAATAGAATTGTTAGTCGATGTCCGCACAAACCTAGCTTGACTGATGGGTTCTCGTCTGAAAGATCCTTGGACTGTGAGAACGGCGGCAAGTTCATGGGAGATTCTGTGTTTGGCTCTTCAGTTGGTCAGCATTTGAGTGGCTTACTAATGTCAAGATGATCATCGGCTTGGAGATTGGCGTGTGTTTTGTCTTGTGAGGTACATATTACCTAATGAGCATCTGCTCAATGCGATTTTGGGTTTTAGATTATTGTGACTCGCAAGATTTTTTTTTGGGGGGGATTTATAGATTTAGCTCGTGGTGGCATCCAGATTCGTTTGTGTACGTATGTGTAGCAGTAGGCAGTAGAGCTTTTTCCAAATAGACGCAGCAAGTTTTGGATGCAGCAGAAGTAGGTAATATAGCCATTACCTCACTAGGGTTTTAGTCATTAATCATTGGGTTTTTTTTCTTAGAATTAAGTTATCTTCTTTGTCTCTCTTTAGCATAGAGATAAAGATTTGTTTTTCTTTATGGTGTGGTGGGATCTTTCTTTTCATGTAAACCTATGTATCATCAAATAAAACTAATCTTTTTTTTTTCACCTCTTGTGCATTCTGTTCTGTCTGTGTTGAAATGGTATTAGCTGCTGATATCAGGCTCATATATTAATGACTACTGACATTAAAATACTCAGAGGCGTTTCTTTGAAGTTTGATGAAGCATTGGTTTGTGAATTTTGATTTGATTTCTTCGAAGTTCTGTCCTTGTCCATGTCCCCTTGAGGGTTTTGTTTTGTGCAGCAACTAAACGGGACCAATAAATAAAATGGATCTTCTTTGGTTGCAAGTTGTAACCTTTAGCTGGTAACAATTGATATTTTTGTGGAAATTGGGACCATTACGAGAACCCATTCTTTATTTCGTTTTGGTATAAACTCATTGAGAGTTTTACAGTCTGTGCAAGACTGTGAGAGTGCTTGTAATAAACCCATAAAGGTGTGAGATTGTTTTATCATAAACCCCTTTTTTAATCTTTGTACCTAATTATCCCTTTATATGATTGGCTTGTTAAAGTGGGGTATGAAAAACAAAGCTAAGCAGCTAAATAAATTGTTGAGACCGAGTCAGAACTCAGATCTCAACTCGAATGCTTTTGGTGGGGTTGCATTTTAGTGAGTGAAGCATCTTTTTCAAACTATGCTCAGGAAAAACAATTGTCTTGACTTTCTCACTTAATATATGTAACACTAAGTCAAGGATCCAAAGCATAGTAGTATCTGTCTGTCTTGTGTGTGTTAACATGTCTCTTGTGTCCATAAACTTGATGTTCTCCATAGAGTGAAGCAAAAGAAAAGATGGGCTTCCTCTGTCATCCATCCACTTAAAGAGGATTTGCTTACTCATCCTTTTCCGATAACGACACTCTGGGTTTGGTGGTTTGTGTTGGATTTCTTGATTCCTGTTTTATTTATCTTCTTCCTTTGTACAACGAGACACTGTCATGGCTTCTCTGTCTGGTATCGTCGAGCGAGAGCTTGGAGCATCATCACCAAGAAGCAAGCTTTTGATAACAAGTGAAAGCAGTCTCGCTTCTGTAGCCTCGTTATCCATGCCCCTTGTTCGTAATCACTCTCTTAAACACTTTTTTTGGGTCATAGAATGATTCAACTCGTGGATTCTTTTATTCATCTTTGTCTGTTTATCAGATTCAGGAGATTGTTCTATCAGCAGACATCAGATGTAGTGACTGCCAAGAGAAAATCGCCGGCATAATGTCGAGGATGATCGGTGAGTTATTTCTACTTCTCAAGATGAGAGTGAGACACATTTTGTTCTTCTCTCATTCATAACAGATTGTTTTGTCTCTTCTTCTATTGGAAGCAGAAACCTATTCAATATTGGTGAGTGTGTTGGAGAAGGAAGTGACGCTGACGTGTACATATTCCGGTGACCGGAGAGTCTCAAAGACATATGGTGAAGCTATTCTCTGCAAAATCTCCACATTCAAGCGTATGATATTTCCTTCTTCCAGGAAACAACAACTCAATAGTATTTCTTGATTCTGCTTTTGCTGTGGATTATTATTATGATCTTTTTTATGTGGAATGTAATGGATATTGTTTAGATATGATTATTATCATAAAAAATCAACTCTCAATAGCAAAATATCATTAGACAACGGAGAGAAAAGTGAATTCTTGAATTTGCAGACACAAAAGAAAAAGAAGAGATTATTGGGAAGTTAAATTGCCGCCACTTTGTTGCCAGAGATTGATGATATCAGTGGCTTGATTAAGGAGAATGATCATCTTCTTCTGAGAGATCCATGGCTTAGCTTCAAGAGTAGACTTGAGCTCTTCCCAAGCATCTTTCCTTGGCCAGAAGAAGTAAGGGCTAAGTGGGATTGTGCCATGTCCAGGGACATGCTGGTCCAAACCTAATCCTATGTTCTTCTCCATCCACACAAACTTGAGAACCACTCTTGCCTTCTCCTCTTGTTGCTTCACCACCTAAACACAACGACAATGGCTTAAGATTTCTTGGTTTGTTTGAAACAGAACAGAGAAGAAGAAGAAGAAGAAGAAGAAGAAGAAGAAGAAGAAGAGTGTTGTTGTTGTTGTTATTACCTGTTTTGGTTGTGGAGTGTCGGAGACATCAATTCCAGAGACTGGTTCAGCAGTGAGTGACTCTGGAGCTGCAAGAGCCACGATTCTCCGGTTTAGAGAGATGGGTTTGGTGGTTTGGTTATGGAGCGATGGAGAAGCAGCGATGGAGAGTTTTGGATGTTGAGAGATGAAAGACGAGCAGAGGGAAGCAGATGAGAGAGACGAGTGGAGTGCCATTGATGACATCATTTTTTCTTTGTTTCTCAGAGAGCAATGGAGAGATTTTATGAGAAATGGATAAGAAAGATATGGTTGCAGAGACAGTGGAGAGCTCCAAAGTGGTTGACCATTGATATGAAATTATATGGGCTTTATTGACTTGGCCCATTATAAATCGTTACAAGCCGACACACAGCAAAAGGTGAAAGTCCAAATAATTTTTTCAAAAATCAAACTTAAATAAAGACTTAAATTATTAATCATAAGAAGTTTCAATATAAATGCATTAGCAGCATTACACACAGAATTTTTCACAAAAAATCAGACATTTATAATATAAACTGTAATCCTTACGAAGTCTTTAATTTGATTATTTTTTACTGACTATAAAGATGATTCGGTTTTGTATATATTCTACAAAGTGGGTCAGATAACCAAAAATGCAGTTGTTGAAAAAATTATATATTAAAACAAGACGCCCCTTGCTTGCTTCCTTACAGTTCCTGACGGTTAATCCATAAAAAGGTGCCATAACAGTTACACAATTAATTATATAATAAGCGAAACAGGAAGCAATCACAAGAAAAAATAATAAACATCGTTTTCAAACAGATCATGGAACCATGAATTCTTCGTCCAACGACAACGACCCACAAGGCCAAAGCCATGGTAAAGCCAAGGGATGGTCGACTGATCTATGCGAATGTTGGATGGACATAAACTCATGCTGCTTGACTTGTTGGTGTCCATGCGTTGCCTTTGGACGCATCGCAGAGATTGTAGACAGAGGATCAACATCGTGTGGTGTGAGTGGAGCGATATACATGATCATAATGATGCTGACTGGATTCGGAGGAAGCAGTCTCTACTCTTGCTTTCACCGAACCAAACTCAGAGCGCAATACAATCTTAAGGAGAGACCTTGTTGTGATTGTTGCGTCCACTTTTGCTGCGAGCCATGTGCTCTTTGTCAAGAGTATAGGCAACTTCAACACAAAAATGCGTTGGACTTGTCCATTGGGTGGCATGGGAACATGGAACGTCGTGCACGAGTGGCTGCGTCTGCGTCTGCGTCTGCCATTCCTCCATCGCTTCACCCGCCCATGTCTAGACTGAACTAGATTGGTTTGTCATTCTTTTGTTTTTTTTTTTTTTTGTTTTACGACAATATTTAGATTAATTATCTGTAATAACAATATGTAGTTGTTTTGGATCTTGTGACGTAATTTATATTCCTTCATAATTGTCACTCAGATGATGTGTTGAATATTGTTCATGTGGTGTTAGCTTCCTCTACAGAATCTTTCAAAAGAACATTTGACTAGTAAAATACGTTACAAATTAAAGTTAAAAACATTTTTGTGATACATTGTGTAGTGTGGGTAAATGGAGCAGACCAGAAGGAAACGTGCACTATAATTATGTTGGACATCTTCTTTGTATATGTGCCATAAAATCAAAATTCCCAAACATGAAAATGGGTTTTGTCCCACTTTTGTCAACACTATCATCCTCTTATTATAGACATTATATATCCCACTTAAGTTCCCTCCTACTTGCCCATTCTCTGATTGGCTAATACATACGTCACCAATCAACTTTCAAGACCCATACTTCAATCAAACTTTTCATTAAAATTTGGACAAAAAAACATTGAGTTTCTCCAGAATGAACATTTAATGATTTGTTAATTTTCTACCATATGTTTACATAAACCCCATATGATTTAGTGAACAGCAAATTGTCACGTTCAAGAAATGGCCACTAAGAGCACTCCAATCGAATAAGAAATGATGCTAACTGTTTCATACAGATATCACACCATTAGTAATAGTCAGAACATATCAAAATGTTTTCCTAATTAACAACTTACGTATATAACAAAGAGCAATACAATAGAAATGAAAGAAACGATTGGTGCATGAACAATTTAGAAGAACAAACGAAAGTGGAAATGATCTTTATGTTAAGTGCATTTTGACAAAACCATTCAACCAATCCCATACTCTTTCTGACTCTATGCCGTTGAAAAATGGAAGATTCTATCGACCACCACCACAAATTTTGATCCACGTGCCACTTTCATCTTTCCAACTATTATTATATAAAAGTGTTAGAATTCGATTTGGTGAATGGGAAAATTAAAGAGAAAATAATAATTAATTCCACTACAATCCATCGACTAATTTACAAAGAAATAGTCCACGTTTGAATGTTGCCTCCCACACTTATTGGATAAGAACAATCCTTTTAAGTCTCTTTTCACACGTTTCTATTATATCACCAATGACGACAATTTTCTAAATTAAGTTCATAGATATTACTGCATTCTACTAAAAAAAAAAGAAAAACAGTGATATTTTAGTTTTATATATGTGCGACTATTTCGTATGGAAGATCAGTCTCTGGTCCAGGACATTAATTTCAGTATCTAGTATCTACAAAGAGAATCATACTTTATAACAACCATAATAAATAACAAAGATAGTAGTAGCCCACAAATTTTTTGTATAGTTTCAACTTTCAATTATTGATAATATATTGATGAGAAAAGCAAAAGTTGAAAATATTTCTAAATCTACCCGTCTCCCTCACACTCCATTATACAGCTTCCTTTCCTTATAATCCTATATATAAGATATCTCTCAAACACATCAATCACCCAAACTCTAACAAAAAGCTCTCTTTGTGTCACTAAACTGCGCAAATCACACTTTGAAAATCAGAAAAATATGGGAGCCACCACATTGACCCATGTGACCACCGTTAACCCTAACAACACCGACATTCATGGACCGGTCGTAGACGAAGTGGAAGGCCTTATTAGAGTTTACAAAGACGGCCATGTGGAACGATCTCAATTTGTGCCCTGTGTGGGTCCCTCACTAGCCTCTGAGCTCGGTGTGGCTTGCTCTGATGTTCACATAGACAAGTTGACCAACGTATGGGCACGTCTCTATGTCCCCAAGTCTTCGGTCTCTAAGCTTCCTTTGCTTGTCTACTTCCACGGTGGAGGTTTCTGCATCGGCTCGGCTTCTTGGTCGTGTTACCACGAGTTCTTGGCCAGATTATCCGCTACATCACGGTGCTTGGTCATGTCTGTAAATTACCGTTTAGCCCCTGAGAATCCTCTTCCGGCAGCTTACGAAGATGGGGCCAATGCCATTCTGTGGCTCAAGAAATCAAGAAACGATAACTTGTGGGCCAAGCTATGTGATTTTGGAAAGATATTCTTGGCCGGAGACAGCGCCGGAGGCAACATCGCGCACCATGTCGCCGGGAGGTTGGCAGCCGTCGACGATATTATAAAGCCGTTGAAGATAGAAGGAACGATCTTGATCCAGCCTTTCTTCGGCGGGGAGGCGCGTACGGAGAGCGAGAGGCGCGTGGGGAACAACACAAAGAGCTCGGTGCTTACACTTGCGGCGTCTGACGCATGGTGGAGAATGGCCTTGCCACGTGGCGCAAACAGAGAGCATCCGTATTGTAAACCGGCGATGAAGAAGATGGTGACGAGGACGCTTGTGTGCGTGGCGGAGATGGATGTGTTGATGGATAGAGAGATGGAGATGTGCGATGGTAATGAGGAAGTGATCAAGCGCGTGGTGTACAAAGGCGTTGGTCACGCGTTTCAGATTCTTGGGAAGTCTCAGCTTGCTCACACGATGACTCTTGAGATGTTGTGCCACATCGATGCTTTCATCCACCAATATGATACCTTTAATTAGTTCTGTCTTCTTGTATAAACTTTTTTGTTTTGTTTATGGTATAGCTCCGATATGTTTGAATCTTATATATACAGACTAAAATGTTTTTTTTGTGTTCTACAAGGTTTAAGTTTTAGAAATTCATATAATGAAGTTTCAGTTTGGATCTTTTGGTTGTTTAATTAAAGGGGTGAATTTGATGAATATAAAAAAGATTATAGTTTAAAAACTAATTAAGTTTAGAGAGATATATAAGAAGAAATAGAGAGAAAAATGGTTAGTTTTTTTGTTCATTAAACCAAACTAGATTTTTATCTGGGCAACAGACTTATTTATATATTAATATTATTGTGTGTTATATATGTTTTTTATTTTTTGAATGTTTTTCTTGTCTTACAATAAATATATATCTATATTGTAAATTTTTTTTTTTAATATAGATTATAATATATTAATTATTAAAAAATATTTCATATATTTATATACTGCAATAAGTATTATATGTGTTTTTACTGTTTATTTGTATTCAATTAATTTTTCATCTTTTTCTACATCTTATTTTCATAGATCAACAAAGTGAAATCATCATCGATCATTCTTCATTCTAAACTGAATGTTCCCTTAATTTTATATCAATTTTCAAAAAATCTAACTCATTTTCAAGCATAATTATTATTTTATTTGTTTTCCCTTTCTTATAGCTCTTAGTCTCGCTATTTTTATTGTAATGTACTTGTTTTTTCTCTTATTTCATTCAAGTTTCCATCTCATTCAGTTTTGTGATCTGTTATAACTCTAAATAAGTAGAATTTTAGTTAGAATTGGCTAGACATAGCAAAAGATCTGTTCAAATATTACATATGTTTGATGAGTTTTCATATCAAAAAATTATGAGTACTTGATAAATTATTGATTTTACTTGATTTGAGGCATTTTCTTTTTTCAATGATGAACTATCTTACTATATATGTGAATGTATGTGAGAATATTTTTGTCTATTTTTATATTATGTGAATGTAAATAACATGACTATATTAAAAAGTATAATCAGTAATCGTGTTTTAGTTTATTTATATATTTTAGATTAAAACTCATATATTATCTGACTGATGAGTAAAGTGATCGCATATCAATTTTATATTACCATCATTGAGAATAAATGGTTGATAACTATTTGCCATATTTTTTCTCCTTCGTATAAATCAAATTCATTTCTATGTAATATAATTAGACACTTTATTTATGAAAAACTTTCATTCATTTTACTCAGTAAAGTGGATATGAATGATATTACTTTAGTTTTAAGCATTAATATTTTTGACTATTTTTAAATAAGCTTGATAACTATTCTTAGTTAGTTCTTCTGTCATCTTTCGTAATTGTTCACTTTTCAACTCTTTTTTCAAATTCTGTTTGTTTATATTCGAAATAACTTTTAAAATTTATTATTATAAAGAGAATTGTTAGTTTTTATAGTTTGTAAAATAAGTATTTGTTTTATATATATGATTTTACTTTAGCTTTATATATAAATCTTTCTAAGGTTTTTTTTTCAAAGTTTGATAATTAATTTTTGTAATATTTTCTGTAATCTTTTGTATTTGGTTGCCTTCCAAACCCCTTTTCACAAATGAAGAATTTGTAATTTATGATTTGCAAAATAAGTATTTTTTTTAATTTTAAATTAATCATATTGAAAGCCCAAAAATAAATACCTAAATATAAAAACTTAAAAACAAAACCTAAAATATTTAAAAGCCCATTTTAAAATTAAAAATATGCTGATGTGGATACCTTAGATGGAGAGATGACTTGCTCATTATATATATGATTTCCCTAATCATCAACTTTTGTTTTTTGACATTTGTGCTATTGATTCGTTTAAAAAAAATCTACATAAGTACAAATGATAAATCATAAATTTTTATTAAATCATTGAGCTAAGATGACTTTGTTTAGACAGCAAAATTATTGTTATGTTTTGTAATTTCTTATAGTCTCTTTACATGCTATTAAAGTCATTACTACTCCACGAAACAATTTTCCATAACTACGAATTTTTATGTCTATAAAAATGAAGATGTAAGATTTAATTACATGGTTCTTTGAAATGGAATCTTTTATTTCTTTCTCAAGGTAACAACTATCCGCCTTCTTGACTTACAAACACTTATATGATGATTATAATAACAATTCAAGATAAATTAAAATATGTTTTCAACAAAAAAAAGAATTAATTACATTTTAATAAGGGTATTAAGTAAGAAAACAATAGGTATATATATAGCTCTCTCTATTTATTTTGGGTTCATTTTATGGTATGCATTTTTTAAATACGGACACATTACACATTATACTTACTGAGGTCAGGTTTTTTCTCTCTTTTCAAATTTTCTCTCCCTTCTCTCTTCTTTTCTTCAGTTCGCCCTAGTGCTCTCCGCCGGCCGCCGATGTTTGTGAGTTTCCACAGCTACAACATCGGTTGGATCTTTTATTTTTTAAGGTTCCTTCTTTGGGTTTTGCTTTATTTTCTGATTTCTAGTTTACTTTTCTGTTTTTTATGGCTGGTGTTTTTGGTTTCTTCAAGTAGTTATAGATCTAGATCTGTTTTCTCCAGATCTGGAAGTTTTGGCTTAGCTAAAGTTGGAGATCGTCTTCTTGGTTCCTTTTCTGGTGTTCACCCTTTAAGCTTGTAGTTTCTTCCCTGTTCTTTTTGGCATTCGTTGGTGGTGCTTTCCAGTCCGCTTGTCAGCCGTCTTCCTCTCTGTTTTTGGTTTAGTGGAGGGTTTGGCCTTGCTCCCTTTCAGCTTCTATCTAAGTGCTCCATTGGTGGGTTCTGAAGCTTTGGTTACTATGTGATGGAGAGGTAAGCTCTCGTCGTGGTGGGAGGAGGTAGATGTTATTCTCGGGCTCAACTTCACAAAAGTTACAGAAGATTTGCAGGTTTGGTTTGGTCTTCAGGTTTGGGTGTGAAATCGATCTCTGTGTTTTAGTTTTGCTATTTTTCTATCTTTAGTCTTTGGTTTAATTTGGATCTCTAAGAGCACCTGCATTGCAGGTCTCTCAATGAGTCTCTCAATTTAAAAAAATAATAAAATAAGAAAGAAGGAAGAGATAGAATGAAATGAGTCTCTCATATGAGAGACTCTCTAGAGACTTTTGATACATTTGTCTTATTGTGAATGATTCAATATTTTTTGTTTTTATAAAAATAATTCAAAAACTAAATTATACTAAATATAATAATTAAATATTAGATGAGAGATTCAAGTGAGTCTCTCACCAATGTAGATAGTCTAATGTATTAGTTTAGTTTTCTGTAATTGTATTTTATCTAGGGTTTTAGGAGAAGTGGTTCCTCTTGTGCTGTATTTCACCATGTATTTCATCCTATATCCTATCATGTATTCTTCTCAATTTGTTTAATATTAATTCAGATGACAAAAAAACCTAAAACTAATAATAAATAAATAAAAAACTATGAAATAATAAATAACTTGGGGTACGCCAAATTAGTAGTATATATATAACTCTTAGAGTATTGGTAATGGTTAATTCAATAAATGGGTTTTTAAATTTTTTTATTATTAAATGAAAGATAAAATTCTGAGAATTAATTTTTAAAACTTTTTTTTTCAACAATCTTAAATTCTTAGAATGGTTCAGATATCCAAACCGGTAGAATTGAGTGAATATAATATTATGCCACCTCATTCTTTTTATTTTTTATATTTTTTTATATTTAAAAACCTCATCAAATCTCTCTATTATTGATGCTCTTAAAATTTAAAGTTTAAGCTAAAAAAACCAAAGCCTGTCTCTCAGTTGGTAAAGCGAAAGACTCTTGACCTTGTGCTCGTGGTTCAAACCCCACGGTGGGCGATTTCGAAGGTTGTACTTGTATGTTCAAAAAAAAAAGTAATTGGAAAACACGTTCGAACTCCGAAGTTTATTTCCCTTGTGGGACACGTGTGGATTGCGTCAAGGCCCTACGCCCCTACCGTCTCTGCGGCCCATCTTTTTACGAAGCCCTTAAATATTTTTGTTTCTGATACATCAAAATTTAGAGAAAAGAAAGGGGTTTGTTACTCAATACTCAATAGCTCTGTTGATCCTTCACTTCATCTCTAATTATATATTACGTATTTCTTTGTTTTTTCTTTTTTTTTTTTGGAAACAGTTTTATCTTTGGTTTTTGGATATTTTTTGTTTATAAAGGCCTTCATATCAGGCTCATGTAAAGCTTCCTTACTTGCTTGTTACTAAATCGAAAAGAGTGTGCACACACGATATATTTAAGAAAAATACATTCCCAAAAATTTAACTTCTACTGAATACAAAACAAAAAACGAAAAATCTCTATTTCTGTAAACTATTATTATGTTTTTAACCAAAGGTTTATTTCTCCCTTTAAATAAGTATAAAATAAAACAAAAGATTATTATTAAACAGATCTTTTGAGTTGGGAGAATCTGGATCGAATACGGTGGCAGTTTGATAGACGGAGAATATTGGAAAAAGCCCTGATATCTTCATGACAGATGCGGCAACAATGGTGATCATCTCCAAGTTCGATGTCATCATCTTCTTCCTCCTCCTCATCTTCGTAATAAAAGCGAAGCGACCATCTAGAGATGATCTGGTAGAACGTCATGAGTGCTACAAGGAAAGCCCAGTAAGATAACACGATGACCGCAGCTGTCTCCATCTCCTGCATATATAAATATATCAACACTTATGATATTAACGAGCATTGAGATAGAAAACAGACTTACCAAAGTTACGTGTCTTCCTTAATTCCAGAACTAGGATTTTTAGTCGGACAAGTAATTAATAACACAAGATGTTCTAAACAAACGCATAAACGAGTCCTATATATTGGAACGAGAGACCTTTCCTAACTCTAGAAGGAATCTATCATGTATTTATTATTTACAAACCATGAATTCTCAAAAAAGTTAATTAAATAAAAAAGGAAGGATAATAACCAATTAATATAAAATGTAATTAATCGTAGTTATAAAAGAACGAAAATTATTGATTTATCTCACATGATATAATTGGCTAGATCTTTATCATCATACATACGTATATAAGATAAAATTAAGTCGACCAATTAATGATCAATCCAAAACGATGTTTGCAGCTCCATTAATCTTAACTTCTATTCTGTGAAAGGATTTGGCTACTTCTCTGAATTTCAAACAAGTCAAAGTGGCTAAACCTATTTTGATTCAAACTATTATTTGATGCTGAGTCTGATGATGACTCATAAACAAACAAACAAACAAAATCCAGAAACAAAACGACGTTTTTAGTCGATTTATACCTCAAATATATAATGCATTTTACCTGGAAAAAGTTCATCCTTACCCGTCTCCATCACACTCCATTATACATCTTCCTCTAGCTCCTCCTAGTCCTATATACGATATCTAACAAACACATCAATCTCCCAAACTCTACTCTCTTTGTGTCACGCAAATCAAACTTATCACGATAAATATATGGGAGTCGGGCCACATTGCATGACCCATGTGATGACCATGATGAATCCTAATTGTGGCATCCCAAACTCATAAAAAAACTTCCTAAACCCAACTAATTCTTTTTTAATCCTAAAACCCCAAAAACCTATGAAATAAAGTTCACCTTTAAACCTAAACCTAGATCCTGGTAACCCTCCTCCTGCTATATAAAGAAGAGCCACGACTTTAAGGAAGGCAGAAACCATATCCTCGGCGAAGCTCTGCCAAAATCTAGCTTCAACAGCCACATATAACTTTTCTGATCCGCCGCCTTTCGAGCTAGATTCCGTTCGACTCGATCGACCCAGATCCCGATATTGATGTCATTGGAAAGACAATCTTTCTAGCTATTCAGTTCCTCTTGAATCATCCGATTTGAAGGTATATTCTGAGAGCTATGCCCATTTTAATCTGAGTGGATCTTTCTGCTGATTTCCAGAAATCTGTCTTTTCCCAGTTTCGTAGGAGGAGTTTCAGATCTATTTTCCTGCGAACCAGATCGATCCAGCTGCCGGTCAGCATACCGTTGGAAAGCCCATCCAGCCACCTTGCCGCGATCCTATTCAGATCCCCGATCTGAGGTAAATCAAAAAATGATGTTGATTGCTTTTCGGCCAAGAAACCACTAATTCTGGAAAATCTGGAACCTTAGATCTGAAAATTCTTGTTGTGCAAGTTAGCAGAAACCCTAATCCGAAAAACCTAATCCTAAAACCCAAAAAACCTATGAAATAAAGTTCACTTTTAAACCTAAACCTAGATCCTGGTAACCCTCCTCCTGCTATATAAAGAAGAGCCACGACTTTAAGGAAGGCAGAAACCATATCCTCGGCGAAGCCCTGCCAAAATCTAGCTTCAACAGCCACATATAACTTTTCTGATCCGCTGCCTTTCGAGCTAGATTCCGTTCGACTCGATCGACCCAGATCCCGATATTGATGTCATTGGAAAGACAATCCTTCTAGCTATCCAGTTCCTCTTGAATCATCCGATTTGAAGGTATATTCTGAGAGCTATGCCCATTTTAATCTGAGTGGATCTTTCTGCTGATTTCCAGAAATCTGTCTTTTCTCAGTTTCGTAGGAGGAGTTTCAGATCTATTTTCCTGCGAACCAGATCGATCCAGCTGCCGGTCAGCATACCGTTGGAAAGCCCATCCAGCCACCTTGCCGCGATCCTATTCAGATCCCTGATCTGAGGTAAATCGAAAAAATGATGTTGATTGCTTTTCGGCCAAGAAACCACTAATTCTGGAAAATCTGGAACCTTAGATCTGAAAATTCTTGTTGTGCAAGTTAGCAGAAACCCTAATCCGAAAAACCTAATCCAAAAACCCTAATTTATTTTTGGCAAAGTTCCATTTTTGGAAACTTTCTATTTTTGGAAAGCTTCAATTTTAGGAGGGTTTCTATTTTAGGAAAGTTTCTAATTCTGGAAAGTCTATTTATCGCAGTTTTCAACCGTCAAACGAAATAACCACATCTACAACTTCTCAGTTTTAACCAAAAGGCAAAGGTGATGCAAGACTTGTGGATCTATAAGTTGTCTTAGGATTAGTTGATTATGTGCATGCTGAATTTAGAAATTTGAGTTTTATTGTTAATTAAAACAAACATGAATGATGATTGAGAATGGATGATTGAATTGTTGATTGGTGTTAGAATAGGCGCATTAGAGCGCATGATTGATTCCGACCTTTGGGCGAATTGTTTGCTGGTCGTCACGAAGGACGTTGCGTGAAGTGAGACCATGGTTGGACTACACACATGAAGTGTAGCCAATACAGGGGCTGACGGGCCTGTGAGATTTGGCTGACGAGTCACGAGATTTTAAAAAGTGTGACGTTCTCATGAATGAGAACTTGTTTAATAGGTTTTCTATGAACTTGTGATTGCATGATGATTGATGTTTGTCTAATCGCTAGTTTGAGTAGATACATATGTGATTATGATTAATGCTTCGTATAGATCTAGCAGGCAGGCATGCTCGTTTCACTGAGTAACTTATTATCACCCCTCTTTTCTTTTTCAGGTGAGTGACTTGAATTAAAGTCGGAACGGTGCTTTTTCCGGGAACCATAAAAAGAGCGCTTTATTTTATTTAAAACTTTTAAAAGTTATTTCAATTATTTCTATTTTTAAGTTTAAGTTCGAATTTTTATTGTTATGACGCTATGAATTTCTGATTCATTTTTAATAAAGAGGTTTTAGATATTTAATGCGTATATAATAAGTTTATTTTTTATTTTAAAAAACGGTTTTAAGATGTGAGAACTACTCTCGACTTATATAACGAGATTGAGGTCTCACTAATACCACCGACATCCATGGACCAGTCGTAGCCCAAGTCTAACTAATAAAATGGGCTGTCCTGAGATGTGACACGTCAGCAAAAATTTTATTATAATCATAACATGTCAGCATTGCAAACTAAATATTCACAAATCTGTTAATAATATGGATTCGATATCTGCTAAACCATTTTCGTTTGGCCCATTTTAAAGAAATACTACATCATTCATCTACACTATTAAAAGAGGATCATTTTTTTTTAAATAACCTTTATCTAACATGTTATTTATCTTAATTGCCATTAATGAATTAATACTAACAATATGATTAAACTTTGTAACATAATTATACATTACTAACTAATAAACATACACTGTCCGTCATTATAGTTTTGTTATAACAGATTAAAATCAATACCATTATGAACCATTTATTGCACCAGTTTGTACCTGCTTCGATCAAACACAAGAAACACAACATTAGTTTACAATCACACTATAATGGATTCCTACTTCTATAATATTATCTTGATTATTTTCTATAGTTTTATTACCGAAAACATACACTTAATGATCCTAATAAACTTGGTCTAATATTTTAGAATGATGAATATCAAACCATATTCTATTGACCGAAAACATACACTAAATGATTCTAATTATCTTTTAAACATATACAACCATACGGTCCAAAAAATTTTTATCAAAATTTTTTTTAATTTTTGAACATCCGCGCCATTCAAAATCTGTTTAAATTTTTAACTTCAAATCTGAAACCGCAACAACTACCTCCCCTAAAAATTTTTAACACAAACGCGCATTAACCGGTTTCTTACTAAGACATTATCTATTTTTCAAACCTTTTCAAATGTTTTCGATCTTTTAAACCTTTAACACGAAACTAAATCTGTTAAAAATATTGTCATCAAATCTTAACCCGCAAAAACTACCTCCCCTAAACATCTCAACTAGATATTTTATTTACAAGATATTACAATGAAACTAGAAACGGCCAACTAACTAAAAATGATCTACAATATAAACAATAGTGAGGATATTCCGTATATTCTGAAATTCCTAGCAATCTATCTTCAATATTCTATATTGTTAGTTGGATATACTATTTTCTCAAACTATTCTGTATTTATTTATGTATATTGGAGATCTTCCATATCTTTTTGAATTGTTAATAACTAAGCAAATTTGACTTAGTTGAATTCATTTCACCTATAAATACTGCCTTCGGCTTAACTATTGCACACATTCTAAAAAACAACAGCAACTTAAATCTCACGCTCTTCTTAGCAATAAATTGATTTACCTCATTGGTACTAACCTGTCCGACGTCAAGCCTTTCAAAACAGGCTGGAGAGTCTGTGTGAAAGTCCTCCGTAAAGCAATACACTGCACAATCTGGTGGGTCAATGGAGTTGATTCTTGCCGATGAATCTGTAAGCAGAAAATATTTATTAGTACACAATGTTTTCTTAAATCCTTTATTTTATATTTTAAGTACTGTACTTATACTAACTATAGTCTAATCTAACTTTCAGGGTACTATGATATATGCTTATGTTAAAAAGAATTATGTTCAGTGCGTTGAGCGTTTGGTTCGAATGGAAAGTGTCTTAAAACTTTTCATTAACCTCTGCATCTGGCCAATACCGACCAACAAAACACAGTTACAAGATGTCTTTCACGGGTAACACTTCTATCACTAAGGGTAATGTGAAGAAGAAAACATGACAAGCATATTTCAATATTATCTATGGAACGTAATCTTACAATGATCTCTTGATGTAAATTGGGTCTTCAGGGGATGTTTAATAAGTGGTAAAGAGATCAAGCGACTTTTTACTAAATTTTCAGTCTCACAAGTGAGAACATGATCAAACAATACTTCCATTCTTAATTTTAAAAAGACGAGTATCAATGTAAATATCTTATATTTTCTGTATCATTGATCTCTAAACATGATTTCATACTTACGATACGTTACCTGCACATACATAAAGCATCCAAGTTGCGTCTCTTCTAATTCCTTCAACGACACCATAACTCCTTGCCTGTCTTGTGCATGTGGCTGCAAAAACAAGAGAGATGTGCCAAGTGAGCAATACAAAAAAGATGTACCTGAGCCGTAGTTATGGTGTATGTAAATTAATATTGTTTCAGTGATAGCAAACGACAAGAGAATGTCATCTGTCTCATATATAGGACTTTTATAATTTGATTCCCTAACAAGCAAGAGTGTTACAAAAATATATTTCAAAAGACATATCCAGAGAGCAGATTCAGGGGATTAAGTTAGTTTCTTTTCCCAAAAGTGCAAAAGGTTGACTTTTTTGAAAAAAATTTTAAGAGACAATCTAAAGCCAACTGTTACCTAAGGTTAAACCTATGATATGTACCAATAGGATTCACATAATCATCTTTTATGTTGTTAATTCTTTTAGCTTTCGTATATTGATATAATTCGCAGCACAGCCAATCTCCAATTTCTATAACCAAGTTTGTGCATTGTCATAATCTACCTCATGTTACATATTGAAACAGAAATCTCCTAAGCTTTCGCTTTAAAACCAATTTCAGGAGTTGTTATAAGCACTAGCTGCAATAGAACATCGAAATTATATTTCCAAAATTTTTAATTATAAACAGTATAAATTACTAAAGATCAAAACCTATTAAGATCCATAAACATCAGTCAAAAGATTACCCAAAAATTCTTCAGATACCCTCCTCTGCGATTGTTCAGAATTGAAGACACTGTAGATATCGAGCCACTTCGATAGCCTTGCCGCTGCAACTATCAACGGCGTGTTCAGATAACGAGCGGGACAGTCCCAGTTCAACGTGAAGAACATCGGACTGGAGATTCTGAGAGAAGCCTCGATCTTTGGGTAAGAATTTCAATCGCGATGGAGAGTTTTTGAATCAGGTATTCTTCCAGCTAGAATCGCAAGTTAGGGAGAGACAGAGACGAATGTTATCGAAATATCTTTATCGAATCGCAAGTGTTGGAGATGAGGTCACGGCGGAGATGGTGGTTTTAGGGTTTTTGAGGGAGAGGTTGAAGTTGGGGTTCATGGAGAATCCTAATTAGAGAGAAAAGCAAGACGAAGATAGAAAATCGCATCTTTGGACAATGTGACGTTCCCAATTCTGAAAAAAGTAAAAAAAAAAAAATTGCTGTCTAAACTAAACAAAAAGGAGTCTGGGCCGAAACAATATATTTCATCAATAGGCCATAATTAAATTTCTTTATGAAGTATATCTTAATATGGACTGGCCTAAATTCATCAATTTTTAATAAAACCTGCGCATGGACGCGGATCCGAAATCTAGTTTGAGCTTAAACGAACATCTTAAATTGGTCAACTGAATATCATTTATGGAAATAGATTTGGGCTGAAGCCCAAAACGAGCACTCATAGTAATGGGCTTTACTTGGGCTTATTAATAGAAATAAAAAATGGGCACTAATTAATAATAATTAAAAAAGTGCTCTTCTCGACACTCATCTTCTTCCTTCGAACTCTTTACAAAGAAAAGCTCTGTTTCCTGGTTTTATAAAGCCGTCGAAGGCTTTGCCACGTGGCGATTTGTTGTTTTCCGAGCCGTTACGTATTCAGTTACGCAACCACTATATAAAAGAAAAGAAAACTTTCTTCTGCAACTTTATACTTTTCATTTCCTTCTTCAACAATGGCATTAGAAGATGCAAGAAGAGCGGTGGACGGAAATCGCGAAACCGGAATTGCGATGCGACTGCGAACGGCCAAAGCATTCGCCGCCGGCGCCATGTCCGTTCCAGTCTCTGTTGCCTTGTACACCAAATTGCCTACAATCTGGATACCCCTCCTTGTGTTCGCCGGAAGTGCTTTGGGATTCATCGTTGCAAGCTTTGTGGATAAATCTCTGTCTTCTCTTACCTTCAGCAAGTGTGTCCAAGATTCAGTCGAAGATGGAGCTTACTTTCTTTACGGCGGAGCACCAATTCTGGCGATCGGACTTCTGATTGAAGATCCGTTACCTCGAAGCATCGCGATGGTTTTTATGACGGCATTGGTATGTATTACGGGAATCGATGAAGAAGATGATTCTTAGTTTTTCTTTTTTCTTCCTCCGTCGATATTTTTTTTTTGTTTTGTTCATTTTTGTTGGATTGAGAAATTGATTCCGGAATCTTTTGTAAAATTGAACACTGTAAATACAAGGTCTTGGAAGGGATTTCGCAGTTATCTCATTATATATAATATAGTCTCATTATATATAATATTGTTTGAATATAATAAATAAAAAGCTGTAAAAAATGTGAATACTGTATGTCAGCAGTAAATTATACAACCACGAAACTTTAATCCTGGAAATCGAGCGAACGGTGGTGTTCCGGTTGCGATCCGCACTCTAATGGATCGGCGAGATCCAAGCCCTTTGATTCCTTGTGTTTCGTTCTGGGTATCGCGGACAAGCGGCTGTATCAGTTAATTAAGTAGGTTCGTGTTTCTATCTTCCGATACCAATGAAATTGAATTAGCCTCAGCAATTTGAGACCTTAAGTGTAAATCTCGTTACCGAAAGCTATAGATGTCGTGAGTTTATCTTCCTTAGATAATGGCTGTGGTGAAAGGGTTCATTTATATGCTCCCTTTGTATCTTTTGGTTTCAAAGATTGTGTCTTTTGCAGGTTTTTTTGATAAGTAAAAGCTTTGACTCGGGCAAAGATGTGTTTTTTTGTTTTTGTTTTGGACACGAATTGAGTAGAAGAATGCATCTTTCATTGTTCGCAAAATCACCATCTCGTGCTTCGGTTTCTATTTTAGCTTGGTGATCTTATATCTGCAGAATTGTCATTTATCTGATTTCTGGTTAATGTTGCTGGTTTTGGTCGTTGGGGTAAGCTAAAAGGATCAGTCTTCAACTTTGAGAAAGGATTTGAAGTCTACCCTCAAGGTGCGTTTTTCTCGGTTGTTTGAAATCTTAAAGATACTTCAATGCAGGTCAACGTTGTTTTAGTCTCAAGAAAACAAAATTACTTGTTTGATACTTTGAACTTGGTGTCTTACAGAGATGTTTAGCATGATATGCTGATTTTGTTCTGTAATTTTGAATGCCCTTGGAACAATGGAAGAGCAAGACACATGGATCTCATAAGCCTAAGGATAGAGGTGAAGATGGTGTGGGGAATGTAGGCCCAGTGAGAGGGAAAGAAGAAAAGAAACAAGGATTAAAGTGTAATCAAATTTCCTTTCTGGTTATACTTTTCAGAGAACCTTCGTTTCCATCTCCTCTTCTTGATGTGCATCTTTTTTTTTAATATAAAACTGCTATCAGTCGTATGACCTTTTCAATGGTTAAGAATCATCTGTTAATCTAAGAGGGAACGCTGAGTGAAGTATAAATTAAAACTTTCTAGAAACTTGATCTATTTTACTTTTTACAAGTAGGTGCCTCTAGAGTTCAGTCTTTGACGTGCCCCTTATTTTTTCTTATGCAGGTTGCTTTTGATTGGAACATTCAGACTAAGTGTCACACTTGAAGGTGACATTTCCCAGCCAAGTGAAGTGGTCTTCTTACTGGTGCGAGACGCAAGTACGTCTTTCTTTCTCTTAGATCTCCAAGAGTCATCTTCCCATCACATTAAAAAGGGTTCACTTGTTGAGGTTCTTTCCCAAGATAGTGGCATCAGAGGTTGTTGGTTTAGGGCCTTGATAATAAAGAACACACAGGGATGAGGTTGAGGTCCAGTACCAAAATGCAGATGATGAATCTAAAAAGCTAGAGGTACACATTTTGAAACCCACCCTTTTTTGGTTTTGTCTTCTACTACCTTTAATTGTGTTAATATGTCTTATATTTTTGGTTGCAGGAGTGGTTTTTGGCATCTCGGGTTACTGCTAATGATCATCTGCGTCTTAGAAACCCATGACAGAAAATGATGTATGGGCTGTTGGTATTGGTATGCATGTGGATGTGTGGTGGTGTGATGGGATCTTTCTTTTGGTGAGTTGAGACCTCTGAATGGAAGTATATCAGCAGATTTGTTGAAGATATATATATCTTTTTGCGGGACTCTAACTGTTGTTTTTTTGATTATTTTCTCTCAGGTGAAAAGAAAATTTCTGATTTTAGGCAATCTTTGGAATGGTCAGCTGATGAGTGGGTACACAAAACCAAAATCTGATCTCGTGAGTTGTGTCCTATCCTTGATGAAGAAGAAAGAAGTCGAAGTGAAACATGATGAGAAGCAATCTGAAGTGTGTGGTGGTGATGGTGTGATGTCACCAATAAGGCATCTACCAAGCCACCAGTACCAGATCTTCTAAAGGACGTCTTAGTTAAAGTGGAATGCATCTAAGAAGCGGAATCGAACTGACAGATGGTTGCTCAAGTGAAAGATCCTTGGATTGTGATAAGTGCAGTTCCAAGGGAGATTCTTTGATTAGCTCTTCGGTTTCTGTTCCAAGGAAGCGTAATAGAATTGTTAGTCGCTGTCCGCACGATCGCAGCTTGACTGATGGGTTCTCAGGTGAAAGATCCTTGGACTGATGGGTTCATGGGGATTGGCGTGCATTTTGTCGAAGTTGCAGGACACATGATTATCGTCATTGTCCATTGTCCCCATAAGTGTTTTGTTTTTTGTACAGCATCAAAAATGAAATGGATTCTCTTTGGTTGCAAGTTTGTAACTTTTAGCTGGTAACAATTGATGTTTTGTGCGTAAATTTTGTTTAATGATTAAATCCCAATTTAGTCATGACTTTAACAATAGATTAATTTTGCAATTATGTCATACAAAGTTGGGATAAGATATGTATTATATAAGAAGCAATTGTAGTTACACTGCATTCTATAACATTTCCAGCAATTTTCAAAAACTAGCTAGATTATAGAAAGGAAAACGTTTTTCTCGACATTATATAATCAGAGAAAGAACACACAATTACCAAATTTTATAACCTCTGTTCATCTTATATTATTTTTTAGTTATTTATCTATTTTTTCTATGCAATTTTAAGGTAAAAACTGCTTATTTGTTGTATCTATTATATAAAGACTGAACGGGTCTCACAAAGAGATGACACGTCAGCATCTCTCCATGACACCTCAGCAGTTTTTTTTTTTAATTGAAAAAATGCTTTAATTTTCTCAGACGAAAAGTCAGTATCGCTTAACTTTTTTTATATCTCTCGGGTCAAACAGAAAATATCTTCTAACGAAGCATTTCTTCCAGAATTTAATTAGTATTTTTGTTCAATTTAATCAGCACCGTGGATTATGTAAAGCTCCTTAATCGACAATAGAAATGGAGAAGAGATCGAATCCGCTATCGTCAACATCGTTCCATTGGGAGAGGAGACAAGAAGATGAAAATCAAAAATGTTCTTCAGCCATAGGCATACCAGAAGACACAATGAGTTCTGCCGCTCGCCTCTTCACCTAAGTTCACCGGTAGTCTCTGTCTCTGAATCTCCTCTTCTCCGACAAGATTTTGTTTAGCCTCCCCCTCTCTCTCTCTCTCCGGCACTTAATCGATGACCTCCATGTTGCTATTGAGGAGTGAGCTTCCGATCCATCGATTCACTCTGTCGGAACTGCTTGAACGGCACGTCTCTCTCTTTCAACCGGAGAATCTCCTTCTCAGTGTCGCCGACCACTCCCGTTCCTCCGGAGCCACCGAACCTGCCAGATCCGCTGGATCTATGGGCTCAGTTTCTCCTGCCCTCCTTGATCTCTCACTCTTTCAGATTGTTCATTTCTTACAGTAAGTCCTTTTACTTATCACTAATAATTACAAAAGTCAAGAGATTAGGCAAATAATCTGGGATTTGTTGAATTTTCTTGCTGTTAGAGTAAATGTTGTCGTGTGGTAAGTCTTGTATGCAAATACTACTCACCGTTTTGTTCTTATTACAGCATTCAGAATCTGCTGTTAATAAAAAACGTTGTTTTCCTTTTTTTTTTGCGACTTACCTACTCACCTTTATGGATTCTTCTAGATCGTCTGTTTCAGTACTTTCTATTTGATGTGCGAAGTTTGTAGGATTGGATACTTTGGATGTCCTGCTGAGGAGCCTTGTGTGATCTTGATGCTTGTTGTATGGAAATTGCATTGAGTATAAAGGTAATCATTCAAAAATGAAAATCTCTTACTGTTTTACTTGTATTTTGCGTAGCATTAGACTTTGGAGAAGAAGGATATGCACATTAGGCCACAGATAGAGCGAGATGAGCTAGAATTAACATTTGTAACTACTTGAATGGACCTTGGATTTGAGAATGCAGCCAATCTGGTCTGTTTGATTTCTCTAAACAAAACGCTAAGTAAAACAGGGAGGCTAGGATCTCGAGTATGATAATCATTTAAGTCCAAGAAATATTCGAACAAAACAAATCTGTAAGCTGCCTAATTTTATGCATGTCTCGTCATTGATTCTTGGAATGTCGGATGGAGTGAATTGACCTTTTTGCACTAATTTTCTGGAACCATGGTATAGGTATTCTACATATCCTTGCATAGACATGAGGGAGGTACCTACTATCCGGGCACTGGAGCTGCTGATGAGGTACCTATGCTTTTGTATATTGACTTTCAATTATTCTTTACGAGACTTAGTTGCTGCAGTATATCTATATTATATATAAGCTTATTTGTTGTGTTTGTATTATGTATTGTTACAGTGTGCTTTCTATCTTGTTTTGAACATCTATTGAAGAGTAGCAGAGCAAAAGTTCCTAATATTTATGCGGTGCAGGTTGGTACAAATGGTGCTGAAGGCTATTGTGTAAATATTTGAAGGAGCTGTGGCGGAGTTGGTGATAAAGACTATATCTACGCCTTTCAGCATGTAGTTCTTCCCATTGGTACAGAGTCGTGTTCTGCTTTCCCCTTTTGATTTTGTTTCAACTCTAATCTTTACAAATACTTTATTTCCACAAACCAGGCTTTGGCTTAACTGATGACTGATAAGCTCAGCAAGTGAGCTGATCTTTTGAACATGCATTGCAGCTTCTGCATTTTGTCCTGATTTGGTCATCGTATCAGCATGATTTGATGCGGCTAGAGGAGACCCGCTAGGCTGCTGTGATGTAAGCTTTATATTGAAAACTTTTAGAATCAGTATTCTCTTGTGAACCTCATCAGAGGATGTTCTGATCAATCTATAGCCAATCCAATTCAATATTGGTTCTAAGAGATCAAGTATGCTCTGTACTTTTTAGGGAACTCCGGCGGGTTATTCTCGACTGACACAGATGTTAGGTGATCTCTGCGGCGGGATTGTTCTACGAGAAACCAAGCATAACACATCTCTTGAAGATCACATATTTTGGTTCGTGGTTTTCATAACACATCTTTTCTTTCTTCGTTTTTTGAACACATGTCTTTGGTTTTCTCTTCAGAACACATCTCTTTACTTTTAAAAAACATTTTTATTTAAGTATTTCACAGATAATATCAACATTTATATCACTTTTAATACCTTTTCTGTGTGATTTTCTAATTGGAAAGACACGCAATCCTCTCAGTGTTCAGCTTGTCGTCGGTTAGATTTCATTTCAATTTTGTGTGTTAATTAATCGAAAAGCATGTAATCAAATGATGTCTTAATATTTGTTTCCCGTGTCCAATTTGTTGCTTTTCGGGTTTCCAGATTTTTTTGTAAAGAAATGGTAAGTACAAATATCAAAATAAAAAACAGATTGAATAACTAAGAAAATCGACGATCAAACTCATTAATCTATATCGGAATACTACAGTAAAAATAATCAAATATTTTATTAGATATGGCCACTTGTAAAAATCATCAAGTTTTCATAGTATCGTGAGATGTTTGTAACATTTGGATATTCGGTTTCATATAAAGATAATGTCGATTTGAGTCGAAAAATTCAACTTTTATCTTCTGTGTTACGATGTTAACAATCGTTAATACAATCAAAACTGGAAATATTCTGCTCAAAGTTTAAATTATAATTAATAAGTAACCATCTGAATTTCGAAGACAAATGCAATATTGTCTTTGTAAATAAGAAAGTACAATGCAACATGTTTTTTTTTTTTTTATATAAAAATACAATGCAACATGTTTGAAAGAGATATTGTGTGATGGCGGCTTATGCGTTTTCCATTGTTGTAGAAAATATTTATTATGAAAAATTTAAAAATATAAATAACCACAACATTTAAAAGCATAAATGAAAGAAAGTATAGATGAATCTAAACAACAATTATGTATTACCATAGTTAATAATTACAAAAATATATTTAAAATAAAATATTATATTAATTATATATATAAATATATCATATAATATAAACCCATTATATTTATAATAAATTATTATATTAATTATATATCAAAAATATATCATAAAATGTAAATTCGCGTGTATACGCGGGTCATCACCTAGTAATTTGTCAGTAGAATCTAGCTCATCCTGAATGTAGGAAACTTTTAATTTACTTTTTATGGTTAATTTTTTTTTTGGGAAAAACTGTACTTGTGAATGTGAAAAATAAATCACTTGATGAGCTATATATATTTTCATAATTATAAGATTAATTATGCTCCTTATGTCTAATATATATATAACTTTTTAAGATAAAGTGGATTTTAATAAATTAATATTTCAAATAAAAGTCATTAATAATTATAAAACATAATTCATCAAATCATGAAAAATACAGTAGAATATTTTAAACAGTTAAAAATAAACAAATAACATTAAAATTTGTATAGAAAATTTGTAAAAAGTTCTTATATAAAGAAAAAAAATTCCTTAACAACAAAAAAAAGCAAAAAAAAATTGAAGACGAAAGACAGAAACATCTAACAGTGCCCTAATTCTATGGGGGGTTAACGTAAAAACCGGTAAAGATGGTTCTAATATGCTTGCACTTGGAGTTGTCAAGTGCTTTCTCGAGTGCCTTGAGATCCTCGTAATAGTCTGAACAGCATAATAAGTTTCTGACATGTTGAGGTGATTTGTGTTCGTTATTAAGAATTAGCTGACGTCTTTGGTCTATAAAGAGCCATAAACCATAGAGGAGGAAAAACAATGGAAGGCCGATCAAAACAAGGGCAGGCTTCAGGTCATCCGAAGTTATCACCATACCTCTCGGATCCTAGCTAGAGTTTCGATAGGAAAGCAAGTTATATGGTCAACTGTTATGCAGTATCATATATATAATAGTGTTCTCGCTTTGCTTTCCTGAATAAAACTCACAAACCTATCACAACTCTAAATTGAACGCATCAACCTTAGTCAATTAATACAACCTAACTCTACCAAAGAATATTTAACGATCGGGAAAGAAACAAAGATTCTCAGGGAAACGAGCATAGAAACTGAGAGAGAAAACAGACTTACCAAAGTGAGGACGATTCGCGTCTTTCCAAAATTTCAGAACTAATAAAAGATAGCAGCACAAGATGTTCTAAACAACGCATCTTATATATTGGACGAGAGAGAGACCTTTCCTTGTGAAAAAAATCTTAACATATTGATATAATGAAGAAGGTGACTGAA